GACCCCATTGTAGCTTATTTTAGTAGCCCATTTAGGGTAATCATTACACAGACTCCTTTCTATTACTTCCAAGAACCAGCTTTCCTGTGATAATTGTACCAAACTTCACAAATATGAGTCAGTTGTGAGCAATTTAAAAAAAAAAAAAAGTGGGAAAAAATGCTCTTAAATTATGGTAATAGTAAATTAAATTTAAGGGAAATATTACATTGATAAATCTAAAAAGAAGACAAGTCCTGCAGTGTAGCCAAGCCTTTACCTGTGTCAGTAAAGATTTGTGAAATACCTTATCTGAGTCATTTGACTTTGTTGTGAGATACTGCCCTCGAATCTGTCATTGAATTATTTAACATCTGTTCTGTTTTTAAAGCAAGAGTCAATGCAAGGCATCATTTTAAATCAGCGTGCTAAAGTGTGCATATTCTGTATATCTAATATGTCATTGTTGTCTCTCGTTTCTGTAATGCATTTGCATTACTATGAATCAATTTTATTATGCTTCTTTAGAGACTGTTGCTGCCTGCACGCTGTGATATATTTGCACTGTTGTAGATATATATATACATATATATAATTATATTATCTAAACCATGTCTTTTTCAGGTTGCTTGTTACCTTTGTAGTTTATGCTTACTGGTACAGTTGACCTGAGTAAACATGTGGGATGTGGGCATTCTGATGATATATTACAATAATAGAGAAATCTTTGTATATTTCTGTATACTTAATACCCGTAAGAAGAGATTTGTATGTGCATTATTTTCCAAACTAGGGATTTGTTTTCTGAGACTAGAGAACATTTATGATAATGTAACAAAAAAAATAAAATCAAATAAAGTGTTATTATTTTCAGACAGATGCCTTTGTCCCTGTTCTCTCAAGGGAAAGTGGCAGGTGAGTTTGTAGGGACATGTTTTCTCTGCCTGCTCCTAGGTTCTGGCAGCCAGCAAGGACATCGATTTGCCTGTTTCAGATGTACCTTGTGGTGGTTTCAGGTAACCCCTAATGCAGGCGGGTGACAGAAATACGCAGTGAGAATTCTTAAAATGTTAAGTGCAGTCACACTGGCTCAGAGCAAAGGTCTGTGTTGCACAGCACCTGGATGACATCACTGTCCTTGTGCCACCCCTCCTGACCACCACAGTAACACTGCCTGGGGTGGTCACCACGGTTCAAGGATAAAAGCCCTAAATTTTACAAGTTAGGTAATTGCCCAGTCCTAAATGATGTGGGCAGTGATGCTTAAGAGATAAACTATCCTAAAGATCCAATAGGCTTGCATTTTCTAAAGTAATGTCTAGACATTTTTCTCGTGATAACAAAGATCATACTTTATGCTGTGGTTTTTATTAGACTGAAGGAATTACAGTCCCAGGAATTAGATGCCTCCCCATGCCAACAGGAGGAGAAAAGAAGGAACAGGAGTCCTTCATAGCCTGAGTAGCAACTCAAATTACTTTTAAGTGTTTTATATTACAGCCAATGCTGTGAAATAAGCCAACCATAAACTACTCATTAGGAATGCCACAAAAATTCATATACCTCACATGCCATTACCATCCACTGTGTACTCCAAATGGATTCACACTAAAAGAGTCTTTGAAAATACAGGACAATTTATACTGTATTTTCTAATAGCTATCCATTTAAAACCTGCTTCATAAGGCAGGTTGAAAGCCATTGGCAACCAGAAAAGCTGCTATGGTAAGAATGATCACGTTTTTCAGCATGGGAAGATATAAGGACCTGTGCAGTGCCCAGGTGAGCAATGAGCAACTGTCATGCTGTCAGGTGCTGGCACTGACGACTTAGGAGAGCCTTAATAAAGGGCTCGGCAGGGAAGTGTATGTTAAAGTCTCTGTTTAGGGCAGAAGGGCCGTCAAGGGATGGATTAGTCAAATTGGTACTAATTGCATCAATTTCTTTATTTTCAGTTTTGTAGCCTTATTTAGTTTCTTTTATGTTTTCGGTTTGAAGATATTTTCAACATTGTGCATTTTTTGTGTAGTATTAACTTTGTGCAACAGCATTGCTGGATACCTGATATTTTGGTTCTGTGTCTTTGCCCACACACACATAGGAGGGCTGAGAAGGAAGTCAGTACTTGATCTCCCCCCACTCTTCCAGCAGAAGAGTACTTTATTTTTTCCCATGGCTCACCTCTGATAGGCACACAGAAGTTTTACCATTCACTAGCAAGGGCTGTAGCACCAAATGACTGCAAACACTTGAACAAAGCAGCATCCTCTTCTATAGCATCTACAAGCTCTACCCATTAGTTCTAGCACTTGAATGAATTACGCATTGCAGCATACACATTTTAAGCAAAGTCTTGTCTGTTTGGCCATTGTTTTCCAGTAATGAGATCACATTTGTAGTCTTATCCTCCCACTGCATACCCGACAGGGTGTACCAGAACAGTGACCATGCATGCTGTCTTAGGTAGTCAGGCAGTTCATTGTTTTGTATACTGACACTGTCAGTTTTCAAATGCCTTAGAAGAAGGCTCAGAGGAGAGAAGTCTACAGAGTAGTAATGGGCTGATCTGCCTAAAGATGACTTCTGTTTCCAGTAGAGAGCTGCTTGGGAAACTTGTCACCTGAGAGCTTCTGAAACTCACCTGAGCTTTGCTCACAAGCAAGGTTTTGCAACCTGCACCTCAGAGCAGTGCATTCGCCTTTGTTGGACTCAGCCTGGAAGCAAGGGCAACATCCCAGTAACTGAATCTGGGTCCTGAGTTCATCATTCTGCCTGGTTTTAACACGGGAAATCAGATTTGTTTCTTGTGTTTTACCTTCTGCTTTTCAAGCTGCTTGAGGGCATCATAGTCAAGTTTTCAAGCTTTAGTGAAACAAGTAGCTCGTTAGAGACTTGTGACAGAACCACACAATTTAGCTGCTCTCAACAGAGGAAGATTTCAGTTTCTGTATTCTTTTTTACTTGGGTTTAGCACCCTCTCTGAAACATTCCTTTTGAGCAGGAGCTTTCCCAGAGGAGGTGTGTGATACTTGCAGATACTATGCAGAAAGCATACCATTTGCAGAGACATCTGGGAATGGGCTCCTGAGTGAGTGGGCACGTGAAAATATACCATTTTGGAGGTGTTTTCAGTTACATCCCTTTTTTCACATTGCTACAGGTTTGTTCTTTGTTCCTAGCACCCACCTGCTCTGTGCTCCTTGTCTGTCCTAGTTTTCTCCCCTGTTAATTCTCCGTGTCAGCCAAACACAACTTTCCTACATTGCTTCAAAATGAATGATTTCCAAGACCTTTTTCTTGGCTACAATTGCTTTTAAAAAGCAGTAGAATATCCTCACACACTGCAGAACCACAGAGGCAACCAATGTGCAATAGCAAACATTTTCTATTCAGCCTTTATTAGGAGTGAAGCATTGGTTGCACAGAGCTGTCATGGTTGCAGTCAGTTTAGGACTACCAGTCATTTGTGATTTTAAACATCATTCACTATCTGTTAATAGCCTCCTCATCACAAATGCTTTGTGTCACAGAGATTGATTCCTATTCCAATGGTACCTTTGTTGATAAAAAAAACCATGAAGCTGGCCTACTTTTTATTCCTCCCCCCCAGGAAAATATTCAGAACTTTATATGCTTATTCACTCACCTTACAGTGATGTGGCTGTGCAAGTAGAATTGCAGAGCTACAAAGGGTAAGTCTTCATTTGGGCTTCTCACGTTTGCTTGTTAAAACTGATTCACATTTGTGACAGTTCTGCATTTTGTTAGAAAAGAAGCCTTGTTATATGCTTATACTCCACCTCTCCCTAGGCAACCTTTTTGGTCAGTGATGGATGAAGGGCCAGATGGACATCTGAAATGACCCAGTGTGGTCACTCATCAGTCTCAAGGCACTGAGGATACACTCAGATTTCTTTCCATTACACAGATCAAGTAGGTAGAGTAGTCAGCCTGAAAACAGGCTGCCTGAAACACTAAAAAAACAGTTTTAAAGTTTCTTTTTTAATTTCTCTTCCTAGTGCCAGATAAAGCTAAGTACAAGCAAAAAGAATGGAAAAAGAAGACGGAGAAGGGACAGGAAAGGATAGACTTTGCACAATCCAATGAATTGAAGCTATCTCAATCATGCTAGATAGTGAAGATTGTCAATCTATTAATGCAAAATAAATGAATGAACTGCACGTATCTACTTGTGTCTACTTGCTGGCCAGACTGTGACCTCCAAAAGGCAGTCAGTTACCAGCAGCCAGGATGCCTCTGTTACCATGCAGTGTTTTCTCTTTCTTGGGCATCTGCCACCAGGTTGGCTAGGAAAGCAAGAATCACATTCTGCACACTCATTTTTGGTGTGCATGCCTGTTTTGGGATCTCACTTTGCTCTACCTTCGCTCTGCTTGTCATCTTCAAATCCTCAGCAGCTGTGTCTTCTAATCTGTTTTGTCAGCTTGTTTTCTCACCAAAAATGTTAATTTTAAGAATTCTAGGCAGTCTTTTCAAGTGCGTTTGGGTGGGTGTGAATAAAAGTCTACATAGAGAGACCTCAAGCACTTCCTTAAGTTAACTTCCCAGAGTAGCCATCATCCCTTAGCACTTACTGATGATGACAGATTCTTAGGTCATAATTTTTTTGTGCTATAAACAATTAACTCTGTTTTTTAACTTCAAATGTCTGGAGCACCTGCATGACACAGTGTCCTTGGCTGAGCATGCTGGTAGTGATTTGATGCTCACCACATAGCAATTAATGGGTTTTGCAGGGGACACCATGCTCAGGGACAGCAAGTGAGCAAATTGAGCCCTTCATGCTTCACCCCTTTGGGGTCAGATTGCTATCAGCATGGCTTTCCTGAACAGTCAGTGCTTGTTTTCTCCATACCAACACACAGACCATTTCAACAGAGGGGCTCAAGCAGTTCCCAGGAGTTTCAGCTGCTGTGCCTTGCCAGGCTGAGTTTCCCCATCAGATTTTGCAGTGGAAGACACCACAGTGCCCACCACCCCCCTTACTAAAACATTTCTGTTCATAGTTTTTCTTGCAAAGCCAAATACAGCCCCAGAATGCTGTGAATCTCAGCAAGACCATTGACCTCCACCTGCTTCGCTGCCACAGTCCCAGCAGAGAGATCTGTGAGGGTGAGACAAGAGTAGGGAGCAGTTACTCATCTGAGCCTCTCCCTCTGAAGTCCCTGCATGCCCCCTTACACTCTCTTGCACATAGTGTCAGTGCCTCTGTGGAAGGAAAGGCCTTCTGGTGAGTGCGTGTGGCTCAGTGAGAGCTTTGCCCTTGAAAAGCACTAACTGGCAGCCTAAATTCAGTCCCTGCAGATGGTTTCCCACAGCACTAGTTAGGGTTACCCTTGTCAGTGTGGCTGTGTTTTCATTCTTTGTCTCAGTGAGACTCCTGTTAACTTGGTGAATGCACTCAATTGTGGCACTAGATTTTGCAGCACAGTATTACAGTGATTACACTGTGCATACGCCTTCCAAATTCACCCAGGCTACAGCACCAAACCTTCCTCAGCAAAGACCTTCAAAGGCCTTCGGTAGACTTACCAGTTTATCACTTAAATTATACCCAATATCCTACCATATTCATATCATAGTATAGAAACTATTTTAAGTACGAGATAATGAAGTTTTATGAATGATTGATTTTTACCGCTTGGATAAACTTATTTATCACAAAAACATACTTGGCAAAATCTTGAAGGAGGCACATGTCTCCATCCTTTTTCTCCCTCCTTGCAGCACAACCCTGCACAACTGTTCTTTCCTGCTAAGCCCCAAGCACGGCTTGCTGCTGTGGCAGCCTCATGATACCCGTTCGGTTCCCACTGGTGCTCTTAAGAGACTCTTCACTGTGCTCTCACTCAGCTGAACCAGGAAAGCATTCAAGCTGCTGTGCTGACCAATAAAGACACCCAGGAGAAAGCAGCCACACTGGCCTGGAGACCAGGAGCTTCTCCTGTGTCTGGTGGGACACAGCAGGCTCTATTTCAGGTATAGGTCAGGGCCAGGGGGACCTGTGTCTTGATCTTAGTGTTGCAGAGTCCTTCCCTGAGCATGACCTATGAGACCCACTTGTGGAGATACTGCTTAACAGTGAGAGTGCACAGTGATTCAGCTGCATGTTGCACCAGCAGCCAGGGCTTATGTTGGGTTGGGTAGGGTACCTGGTGGGTACCTGCCTTCCTGAGCTATTCCGTGTCCTACTGGTAACAGCACCAAGAGCTTGGCAGCACCAGAAACATGGTGATGCAGAGGAGCAGGAGGCATCTGAGTCAGACCAGCTCAGTTGTCAGATAACAAAGGCATTCTTCCCTGTGTCTCTAGGGGAAAAAAAGTCCAAACCCACAGCTATAGTTGTATAAAGGGAACACTGAATGTTGTCAGTATTCAGAAGAGCAAGCACCCATGCAAAGCCACATATCAGCTAACAAATGCAAGCAGTCACTTGCGAGTGTGAAGTATAGCTAACACAGAAAGCCGAGTGCCATGTTCCTTTTGGAAGTGTTAGTGACTACTCTGTCACTGGCGTGTTGCTAAGGTGCCAAATGTCCTGGGAAACAGAGAAATACACTGCTTAAAAATAAAGATGGCAGAGAACAAAGAAATTACATCATAGTTCTTTTATTACAGTGAAAACCTGCATGGTACTAGCCTACTAAAAGAATAAAAGCTGCAAGTAACTTTTTGTCAGAAAGGAGTCAATCCAAGGTAAAAATATGTAGAAAACATAACTGTTGCAAACTATAAAGTTTGAGTTGGGACCTCCAGCTGTTATTTCCCTTTAGAGAAGGTCCAGTTATCACAGGGTTCTTGATGAAAGTTTCTCTTAACAAGCTGGGGAGGTAAAGAGGAGAAGCAGATTAAGAGACATGTTTTCTCCACAAATTACACAGGGTGCTCAGAAGTGTTTTGCCTAGGTGCAGGACACCAAAATGTCGATTTTTTAGTGATGGCTTACCCAGAATACACTTCCTCAAAATGCACTGTGGGGTGGGTTGGAATTGGCTGAGGCTATTGGTCATCTATGTTACATATGATGAAAAGTCAATCCCAGTTAAAAAAATAGAAGTAGGGGATCAGACGTTTCTGTGTGCTCCATTCCACATTTCTAAAGCAAAGCTTTTTATCTCTTGTGATAAAGTAGGTGTGAGTTTGGTAGCTGCACCTCTATCATTGCTCTCGCTGAGGGCTTGAGCTCACATATGATCCCGGACTACCTATCTAGCCACATTGGCCACAAGTCCCTGACTCAGATGCATTGGCAACACCCACCCCTCTGTGCAAAGCCAGGCTTTTTAGAGTTTAGCCACCTCTTTCCCACTCATGCTCTAAGTGAGGAAGCTCTTGCAGCCACATTGGGAAGAGTGGGACACCCCTTCTTGCTCCCTCCTGCCGCACCAGACTGGCAGAGCACACCATGACTGGGCTCAGCATGGACCCTGCCAGGAGCCATCATGATCCAAAGGGATGTGGGGACAATGTCTCATGCAGGATGTTACCTTCCTCCACCACGCGGTGGTAGAAGCACCAGGGGACACCAGCGGGATGTGACCTGAAGCAGCACCCCTTCTTTTCGCACTCCTTCGCCGTGATGCCAGGGAAGCCGCAGTTTATCCTGGCGCGAGAATCAGCGGGACATACTTTCCTAACTGCATAAAGCCAACACCAAGGAAGAAAGGAGGCAGTGTTACTTTATGTTCTGTTTACCTGGTGGCATAACTCACAAAGGTGAGGTCAGTGAGCAAGCATGACAGTCGTGATGAACTTCCCCGTACCAGTTTCAGCCAGCAGGTTCACCCAAATCCTTACCGTGCCTAATAGGCAAAACTAAATACCAAGGGGTGTGGATTTGCCAGTGTGGGGCTAGAGAGTGCAAAATTTCCCCCAGAAGTGTCTGGTAGGCACTGACCCAACTTTACCTTTCCTAGATCCAGCAATGGGGTGAAAAGCCATATGTCTTCCATAATGGTGCCACAGACGCTGGCCTCAGACCAGGCTGTATTCATGATCTGACCCAATGCTAACCTCAGAGCAGCCTGACTAGTATGGGGAGAGGAAAACCAGCCTCCTCAGCATACCAAGTTGAGGATGTGGGTCATTTAGGAGGAAGTCACAGCTCATCCAGGCCATTTAAAGTAAAATCACAAGTAAAGAGGTTATACTATCTGGACTGAATAATTCAGTTTTCCTCTCCTGAAACAGTTCTGCTCGGAAAAGCAAGTCTACAAAATGGTACTGTAAGGGCTGCCATTTGGTTTTCATTTCTTTCATTAAATGCAAACAGTGTTCAAAAGCACAATTAATTTTTCCTCCAACAATTCTGAGCCCTGTTGACCAATCTTGATTCATATCAAGTTCTTCCATTGGGTAATGTTGCCTTTGCACTCTCACTTCCTTTCCTTTCACCTGTGCAGCTGCTGAGATTGCCCTGAAGTTCTCCTAAGAAAAAGTCACGCAGTCAGCCCAGCAAATGTGGCTTCCATTCAGCATAATGTAAAACATACACCCACTCCTTGAAGGACTCGAGAGCAGCTCTTACCCTCTGAGAAAACAAAGGCAAAAACCAGTAGCAGGACTTAAGAAGCTTCATAAGGAAAAATCTAATGGAGAGAAAGATTTCCCAAGGGGTATTTTTGAGATTTCATTGAACTAAAACGGTGAGCAAAAATGGGAGAGAAAAAAAAGAACCACCAAGTTAACTTGGGCTGGGAAACAGGAAGAGAGGAAGAAGTAGCAATTATCAAAACAGGCTGGAGAAAAGAGCAAGAAACCCAGAAGTTACAGGATGCCTGTGGTCTTTTGTACAGGCGTCAAAAGACTACAGAGGGACTCACATACTCAGGACTTTGACACGTAGTGCTAAAGTCCTCCTCAGCTACATAGAAAACCCGTTTAAATAAGTGCTGAGGATCCCCTGCTCTAATGATGAACAAGAACACAGATGGCAGTAAAAAGGTTTTGAATAATCAGCATGGGTTATTTGACAAATAGAAGAAAGAGAAGAGATAACATTTGGTAACTGAAGGAAGACAAAATATATTAAGTGAAGAGGATGAGACGGAAGACTCATGTGTAAGCAAGGTTTGACTTTGCATTCTACTGCCGGTGGCCTTCTAGTAGAGGTTTGTGGCCATTTCATTGGCCTGAAGAGAAAAGCAGAGCTGCTCCGCAGTTATACACGTTTTCACACAGTCAGAGGCACTACCTTTCTTTGCTTTAGGAGAAAAGCACCAGGGAACGCCAGGGACTGAAGAGTTGAAGCAGCACCCAGCTTTTCTGCATTGCTCTGCTGTGATTCCTGGGTAGCCACAGTTGCTCCGCTCCTTGGGCTCCATTTTACACTGGCATCTTGCTGTTCAGGACAAAAGTAGCAAGTTACTGATTGTCAGTCTGCACAACCATTAGCTGAGGCAGGGACACCTTCCACTAGAGCAGGTTGCTCAAAGCCACATCCAGCTTGGCCTTGAACACTTCCAAGGATGATGCATCCACAGCTTCTCTTGCGTGTAAAGACAGAAAATATCTGCATTCTCCTCAGGTGTCTATAAAAACATAGGTTTACATGCAAATAGTTGCACTATACTTTAAACATTTTAAGTCTGCTGCACAGTCATCCACAACCAAGAAATTCTAGCGATATCCTAGGTGTCTGTCATAGTTACTCGCTTTCTTAAGTTGCCTAAAGGACTTGTCTTTCACTAAGGAGGCTGATAGATTCTTTTGCAATTGCACTAACGTGGCAAAGTAGCATAAAATAAATGTCGGCAGACTGTAGACAAAGCTAGTTGCTGTTCTAGTCCTGGCAATCTCCTGGGGATGTCTGTTCCTCTGCCTTTGTGGTTATTCCAGCAACACAATAGTTCACCTGCAGCCTTTTTGTTTTGCCATAGAGCTCTCTAAAAAATTATAAAGTAGACTCCAGCTTTGGCAAAGCTGGATGTTCACCAGAGCGAGACATTCACTGTCTGATAGGTAAACTGGAACCATGCTCTTGTCGCAGTTATAGGATGAGGCCCACATACACACCTGTGAAGGTTACAGCAGATGAATGTACTTACTTGGTACAGCACCTGCCAAGGTGCTGAGGGCTATGATGAGAACAACAGAAAGCACACAGGTCACTTTGAGATCCATTGCTCTTGGAAGGCGGGTGGAGGAGACGTGCTGCTTTCCCTGGGAACAGCCTATTTTATACGATCTTTGTGTTTGCCCAGAGAGGTCTGATAACATTGTTCCATCCAACACTTCACACAGAGGCTTGCTTTTCTTTTGCTTAATTAGGAAATCCTGCCATGCTTATTTTGATATATCTGAGATAAATTTTGGGGCTTTCATGAGCTGCTGGTTACATATCTATTACGTACCTATAGATACGTATCTATTACATGATGCCATAACCTATTAAATCGGTGCTGCTAGGTGCCTCTGGCAACCCCAGATGATTTCATTGCCATTAAAGTGTTTCAGACCTCTGGACAGTGCTAAATGGTTGCTACTACTGAAATATCCATAGAGTTATTTCCTACCCAAGTATATCTATTCTGCTTCAATTTTTTCCTGGCCTTAAGATTTTGGTTATGCTTAATGTGAGATAGGTAAGGCAGGAGATCTGGAGGTGTGAAACTCCAGGAGACCACAGGGCAAACCATGCACCTGAAGAAATACAGAAACACAGAAAGTGGAAGGTGTGACTATGAAGTACTGAGCCTGGCTGAAGCTGTTGTTTGTTTCCACACATGTGGCAATTTACACCAGTTTGGAATAGGAAAACTTTTAACTACTTCCCAATGCTTGAACACAAGCAAAGCAGTTCCAGGGAAGGGGAGATGAGCAGTGGGATGGAACACCTCCACACCCTCCACAGAGGAGGTACCTGCAGAGCTGGTAGGGCCAGCTGCAGCCCCCGTGGTGCTCTGCAGTGTCCCTTTTCCCATGGGAAAACCACTATGGAATTCTTCCTGTTTATCACCAAAACAGGGATTAAATGCATTTTTTTTTAATCTGTGATAGTGTCTCTTCATGCCTTTGATTTTTTTTTTGTACAAATTTGATTTGTGCCTCTTTCCTTGACAAAGTTCAAAGTGAGAACTTTGAAGTTCTATGGTTGTGTTTTTAAGGTAATTCATCTGTTGAAAAGTATTTTGAACCCTGTGGGAGGATTTAGGAATTTTGGTCTGAGGGGAAAATACAATAGAGCTCATTTTCCTACTGTTTAACTTACTTAATACTTTATGGACTTCATTTACGTTCATCCCTATTCAATATGTTGATGGCACTTCTCATGGAAAGTACGATTTGTAAACCAGACATTTTGTGTATCCTTCATTTCACACAATCCAAGCTGCAGAAGAGGACTGTGTTCCAGCAGTTCATGTCATGGCTTTTATCTCCATCACTGGGAGAAAACATCGAACTTACAAGTTAAAAGCCTGGTTTTCTCTTTATGTGCAAAATTGACAGCTCTCCTAAAGGCCCACCTTGATCTCTGATCCAGCCAAGTCATTACTAATTTTTCCATCAGCTTTCTTCTCATGGTGCAGGGGGTGAGACTGGCTGAAACACTGCCTGTGCATGCTAGGAAAGCAGTCAGCTGAAGGTGTCCCTACCCATGGCAGGGGGGCTGTAAGTAGATGATCTTAAGGTCTTTTCCAACCCAAACCATTCTATGATTCTATGATCCCAAGGAGGGGACCCACTGCTTTCAGACCTCCATGGAGTTCTCAATAGATTATCAGCACATCATATGAGTCAGGTGGAACTGCTGATAACATTCATCCCTCCTGCTTCTTACTGGACATTAATTAAGTCTTATCTGTCAGCTGTCACCTCTTGGGCGGGATCCCAACTGCATGCACGAAAACAAATCCAGCACTGACTTTTTGCTGCGGAAAGAGCATTTGATTGTTATCTTAAGACAAATACATCGACAGAAATAAGCTTCTTGCTATCTGCCAGCGGATTACTTTCAGATTTTTAATATGTTTATATAGCAAAGCCTTGAAAAGTATCTGGGGTTTCCCTGCAAATGTATTTCCTTCCCTGAGGCCGGCACCTACTTAGATCTTTTAGTAACTCAGCATAGGATGCCCACAGGGCAAGTTCCTATGGCCAGAGGGGGTTTGGAGGGCTCCTTCCTCTTCTTCAGCTTCCATGTCCCACATGTTCACCACCGTCCTCCAGTCCCACAGGGCTTTCTCTCATTTCTTTTCCAGCAAGGAAATGAAGAAATCACCATGGCTGGTATGGACCTTCTTGCTGTGGGCCAGTAACAGGCTACAAATTTTTATTCTGATAGTGCAGAACTTTTAAGGGATTTGGTTTTTTGTTTTTCTTTAACTTAAAAACAAAGAACTAGCAACCAATAGTACAACTTAGTTTTACATCCCAAAGGGTGTTCTTTGTCCTAAAGGGAATTTCCTTGCTCGGTAACAATATAAGTGCTGACCTGAGAAATCTGTCACTGGACCAACAACACTACTTGTGAGCTCACAAATTAAATCCCAAGTTTTGAGGGTTCCCTAAATTAAGCCATCATAAAAGAGAAAAAAATCAGAAACAAAGGAAGGGGGAATCTTCGCGCCTTCCATCTGTGTGAGGGGCACTCAGCAGGAGGACAGGCTCAGGAGCAGGGATAGTCTGACAACACCTCTTAGGTCAACCTCACTACATGCCGCTCATTCCCTGTAATACTGCGTTTTATGAGTGTTTCCAGAAGCCATAGAAATAAGTAGTACTCTCCTCCCTTATCATTATTGTTCAGGCTTACTGTTTGCTTGCTTCACGACAGCCTCTGATGCCCCGCTATATCTCATTTCCTCCATTCCTTTCGGAGGTACATGGGGATTGATGTGGGGAACAGGCAGCACAGGTATGACTTGTTTCACCAAAGTGTTTAAAGGGTGTATTTCTCAGGGTGTACTTCCCACAGGGCCTGTGGAGCCATGTTGTGGGTCTGTTCTACCAAGACAAGTTATATGGGTGGTACATGTAGGGCACCAACACAAACCACCTATGTGTGTGTACACTCAGGGTACCCACAGGTAGATCAGGTAGATGCTGCATCTCTGGGCAGGGTCTGCGCTCCTGACATAGGGACACTCATCTCAATGTACATGTCTGGACAAGATGGTGTGGCTGGAATTAGGGGCACTGGTCTCTTCCAGCTACTGTTCTGTGGAGCCTTGTGTTTTCAATAGGCACATTCCCACATGCTGCTTGTCCTTTCCAAGGCATGGTACAGAGATGAGCTTCCTTTTAAAACCTAGAAAAAATGAAATAAAGACAAATAAAGTAAGGCAGGGAAAGATGCATTTTGTTTCTTTTCTGTACTCTATCAGTTTTGCAATGACCCAGAGAGAGGAAGAGACTTCCGTACGAGAAATGCAGATCTGGTTGAAGACATGGCCATTGAAAGGTCTCTTTATGATAGTGGTTGTGATGCATTTCAGTTTACCATGCCCCAAGCAATAAGAGAGACCAACTCCTGATCTATTACCTTCTAAAAAGGGAAACATAGAAATCAAGGAGACTTATTAAATGTAACTTCAAGGAAGAGTAAAATGGGTGAAATGTTCACAAACAGCAGGGTGCTATTTAAAGACACAATAAGAATGATTCAGTGTAAATATTTACCATCAAATAAAGAATATGAAAAGAATGTCCTCAGGCACACATATAGACCCAGCAAAATTAAATGGGAGAGGAAAGGAAGCTATAGAAGAAAGACTTTTTTCCAAAGCCAAATAAACAAAACAGAAAACAAAAAAAAAATGTGACCAAAGGTAAGTAATATCATAACAAGGTAAATAAATAACTTCTCTTAAGGTAAGAGACAAAGGTTAGCGATCACAAGGGAGAGGAGAGGATTTCTGTTGTTCAGAAATGATCAGGAAAGCTTGGTGGAATAATAAAGTGATGAATATGCTGATGATTCATAATTATTTTTCATATTTTTCAAAAGTGCAGGTAACTGAACAGTTGGAGAAATATCTTTAAGGACTGGGTGATAAATGGCAAATGAAAGGTATTGTGGGTAAGTGCCAAGTGAAGTGCATGGAGGAAGAGTAACCTAATTATACAAACACAAAGAGGGGCTGTAAATTAGCTATTGTCACTCACATAGCTCTGCATTGCTGTAGATATGCCAACTGAATATTCAAAGTGTCAAAAAGGCAACTTGAGTTTTAGTAGTTGTTAGGAAAGGGACTCGGTACAAAGTGGCAAACATCATTTTGATTCTCTGGCAATCCCTGCTACTCCCGTGCCTATATCACTCTGTGGTGTCCCAGTCACACCAAATTAAAAAGGAGAAGGTGTAATTAGAAGAGATGCTGAGAAAAGCCCTCTGGCTCACAGGAGAAATGAGCTACAAAGAAAGATCTTGTAGAGTGTAAAGATCTTAGGGACTAAGTTGTCCCAGGATCAGGAAATGAGCTACAAAGAAAGATCTTGTAGAGTGTAAAGATCTTAGGGACTAAGTTGTCCCAGGAGCTATTTTCTCCTGGATAAATAAGGGGTAATAGGCAGAGTGTTATGGTGGGATGTTTGCAGATTTACAAACTCATAAACCATCTGGAAGAAGAGGTAAGAGGGTAAGATTTGTTAGCAACATATTTTTGTGGTAGTAAATTGCTCAGATGGGTTGTGCAAATCTGAATGACTGCAGAATAAGAGGCAGGTGATACTTAATGTCCTTAAACATGAAGTGATGCACACCTGGGAAAGGAGCAATCTTACCTTTTCAAATAAAATTGTGGGCCCTGAGCTGAGTATGATCATTCAGGTACACGTGAGTGCAATGTAATATGACAGGAGCATATGGCGGGTAACAGACAGCTTTATGAAAATACCAGCTCAGTGCTTAGCAACCACAAGAAAAGCAAGTGACAGGTTAACAGTTGTTAGGCAAGGGACAGAGACTCACACAGATTCACACTGTTATACCATCTTATAAACTCACAGTACAGCCACTTTTTCTTGCAGTGTTCTCAATCTCCAGCCCGTAAAAGGTCCCATGATGGAGATGGCAGTGTGGGACAGCATCCACACCAGGAATGACCACATACACTAGGTCTCTTCAGATCATGACCTCTATACAAGCCACAGGAGGCAGGGGTCCTTGTCTCATCTAACATAAAGTCTGAGTGGTGGGTTAGGAACACACAAAGAAAGAGGGTTCTTTGCTGAG